ACCTATAATTACACAGACTTGTAAGGCTAGTATTATTCTTAAATCCTGGAAATTTTGAGAGGGCATTGTCATATGATTTTGAAAAATTTGGGGGGTACAGATACTTATGACCGCTACTGTATTGTGATACAATAATTCAGAAGACATTGGAGTGCAAACATTTGCTAGATAAGATACTTATTTTAAAGATTTCAGTGTTTTGGTCGTTCAACTATTATCCCTCTCATCTTTCAATCTAGATGTAATCGTGCTGATGGTATTTCTATTGCTATTACAATTTTTTTATCGCACGTAGATTATATCGTATCGAATGAAGAATACAAGTGGTTATTAAATAATCTTACAAGTTTTCCAATATCTCAATAGTCATTTTTGTAAAAAATAAATCATATATAGTATACAGTATTAGCATCGATTCTATTTTATTAGTAAATCCAATTACTTGATATATGGTTTTAATGGCATATTGTTTAATACTAGGAAATGGAAACCACCGTAAGTCCGAAGCCAATAACGTCGTCCCATGTTGAAATAAACCACGCGTACGACAGATAAAACGTGTCTGACTTGGTTTAGAATGATAGCCCTATGCTAACACTTCGGACAATGATTTTTTAATGAGATAAAAGGAAGAGTTGAGCGTCAGCGGTAAGGTCATCATCTATAAATAAGCTTAAATAAAGCTTACCTTTATTTATTAGGTTGCATATTTATCTATTCTTATAGCACAAGATTGCTAACATCGGCATGAATGATGGGAATGTTTGAGTACAGCATGAGGTTCAAATTCCAACTAAAATCTCAAAATCCATTAAAAACGATATGATTGACTTATACGATGTATTATGTTGTTGTCATTTCTAGAAAACTTACAAACACGGGGTTAGGACGTTGGAGAAAAAAAAAAGATCTAGAAAAAATATAAATACAAGGTCGAAACACATTTCTGTAATATATAAAAATGCTACACCCTGCATTATATACTAAAAACTTCACTATTTTGATTTTTCTTTATGCCTCGGACGGAGATCATCTTAGATATTATACCCTTAGTTATACCACCGAAAGCTTCGCGTCACACTCAAAAACAAGCTTATATATGATTATCCAATTCGATAGCAACGATACGGGAATAATTAAGGGTTATCTCACTGGAAAAAGCCAAAACTTAATAGACCACATCGAAAATATCGCTGGGAGGGGTCCTAGTCTGTCAAGTTCTGTCAAAAATTCGAGTCACCTTAACGCAAGAGGCCTAAACTCGCCAAACTTCGTCAAAAACACGTATCACAACGTTGAAAATAAATATCACATGATTTGTCGTATCGATTATGATGAAAAACTCACCTATGTCCGTTTAATTGACAATGAAGTCTTAAAACTTCCAAATATTCGTAAACTCGTTTATAAACGCAAATGCCCCGATTGCAGAAATTTATATAATTTTCCATGACAAATTAAATCTCATAATTTAAAACATTTTGGCATAAGATGTAAGCTCATGATTTTTTTTCCCTTACTGTTAAGAACCGTCATTAAGAGTTTAATTAAAAATTTGGACTCATCCTTAGTGTACTGCCGTGTTGAGAGTTGTTACGAAACCTTTTCATTAAATGGAAATAGGCAACGACACGAAAAAAAAAAACATAATTACATTCACACCGAACAAAAATTTGGCTTCCTTTCGCCTTCTTAAAAAAAGGTAAAATATATACACATACTCCCTCTTTATAATATTTATTTAACTTCTTATCTTATTATTAGAAAGGTCGATATTATTCATCGAAAAAATAACGAAAATTAGAACCGGGGATACAGTAGTATATCAAGGGAAAACCAGAAATTTAATTACGAAACCATACACGTATATCATTGAGTGATGTTTTATTTGCCATATATAAATTATTATTAATTGTTCAATCCTCTAAAGAAAATTTCATATATTTAAAATTTTTATAAAAAAAAAAAAATGAAAACATTAGGACAATTTTTTGAGTTAGTGTATAATGAACCCTAAATACCTTACATGAGCTGTTACCGGATCGATCTTCAAAGTGGACTTATGGGCTTAGGAGTTAACGGTTATAAGAAATTCATTATTACGAAATTTTTTTTGTACAATACGTAACAAAAAAAATATTCGCCACGTATACGTGTGCAAATAAATAAAATAAATCTGTCACGCATACATGTGCAAATATATAAATAAATGTTATGAAGAATTGCATAATACTTTCCACTATTTCTGAATTCTCATTTATACACGTCTCCACTAAAATCATTAAATCAGTATTTTTTAAATTCCTCAATTCCTTGGTTTTTAGGGCACTATTTGTACAAAACTAATTTCTTCAATTGTTTTAATAATTTAAATAATGATACAAATCGAAAATTTTGCATCTCACTGTCAGTCTCACCTATTTACATCTATTCCGAACGCATGAGAACATATGCCCTATACACCGTAAGAGGTTACGATGTAAACCTAGGAAATTGTCGATATATGATTGTCCGTTGGACAATTAAGATGAACGTTTGTTATTCTCAGGTGTCTTTATAAGCTACGCCTCTGAAGGAAATTATAATTCATCTGGTCTCGTCGAAAGTCCGACTTCAATTGTCTACTCACCCTTTAATGGAATTTACCGCGAAGAAAATAATGGCGAACTTACACTTGTCGGTTATATTACTCGAGAAAACTACCCATTACTCTATGGGTTTAGTTGCCCTGAATGTGATCTGTTATTTCGCTATACATTTGAGAGTGCATACTGGAATAGGCGTAGGTCTAAATTTTGTTTAATAATTTATAATCAATTTTTATTCTCAATAAAAGGTCTAATTATAACCGACCTTTTTTTTTTTTAGCATATGGCTGTACATTTCCAGAATGCAATAGATATTTCCAGATGATTAATAATAAAAATCGTCACGAGAGAATTTGCCACCGGTAAGTATTCTCAATTCCATGGAAATGTTATCAGCAAGGCGTTGATAAAGGCTAACGTAAAAATAATTCTAGACTATAAAAGAATTCTTCTTTTTAAGGGTTTCAAAAATTAAAAGGTTTATATAAATGATTTAAAAAAAGTATCGGTGTAAAAAAATTTTTCTCGACATTAAATTATATTTACTGTATGTAAAGGCAATAAGGAGAAAAGAGGATAATTGGGATAAAGAGAATAATTAAGATAATTAAAATTTGTACAAATGCACTTGGTTTTTCTATAAATGAAGTTAACAATGTATTCTTGACAAATTTTTGTGTGTTAACTTGTTCGAAGTTTAATTGTGTACCATTTTTTATAGTTTTACGAAACCTGATTTATTTTAATCGCCTCTATCAAAAGGGAGATGCAATCAGCATAACTAATAGAGCAAAAGCGGCATACATAGATGCCGTGTGAGATATAACGACGAGTCTGTAGGCAAGCGGTTTTCCCCCTAACAGTAGTATACCCAGTGTAATTATTCAAAAACTAGCATAAACATCTCTAAAGACAATTTTAGACAAGTAAAGATAACACATTAACATTTTGTATCTGTAAAAATAGCAACCATCCTTGTAAAACTAAAAAAATCAACAATTTTCAATCTTATTAACTGGTTCATTCTTCAAAGATTTCTTATCCTTCATTCATTCACTGTTTTTAGTTTTTCTTCGTTAGGCAACCAGTTCACAATACAATAGAAACTTATATGCCACGTCTATAGTATTACGGCTAACCCAATTCTCAAAATCAATTACGAATTCTTAAATATTCTGTTTTATAATAGTGTCAGAGGGTAATAATCGTGACGCGATTCCAGTCACGTGACTAATCGTCGCGATAGTGCTGCGAAGGACCCGTTCCGATCATGATACTGTAAGGGGTAAAATAAAATAACCAATAATAAAATATTTGTCCAACGTTAGCAAGTGTCACGATAATAGAACCATGGACATGTAATTAAAATGACGAAAGTGAGCGACGATGATAGAGGATCGTACGTGCCCCACAACGAACGACGATACTACGCCAACACGTGATCGATCTACGTTGAATGACACGAGATTTGATCCTGTCACGACTAGAGATGTCGCACAAACTTGGACAAATTGTTAAAAAGGAGTTACGACATTTCTACTATTTTGTATAATCTAAACCCAAACTTACTTAATCACATGCAAAAAATTTTGGTTAGAACCGTTTATAACAAAAACAAAAACGCATGGTATATAATGATTCTTCTAATAATAAGAACAAACATATAATAAGAATATACTTTTCGTAGTTATATAGTCCTAATAACATAGTATGATCTTTAAAATCAACTTACTCTCGCTTTATATTTTTCCGGTAATTGTCTTTAGCTTGATAAATTTTGTTTTTTTATTTATATTGTTATAAAAGTTGATATTAATATTTAAGAAAATAAATGTTATTTAATTACAAACACAATATGTCAAGTAATAATGGATCGCTTAATGATTATGAATTTGAATCTACTTCGAATAAAAATTTGAAAAAAAGAAAAGGTGGTCGACCTAAAGATCCAGTTTGGGAAGATTTTGATATTGGTATCTCAGACAGCAAAGGACATTATAAGGCAAATTGTAAATTCTGTACTAAAGCTAAATGGCAACGTGGTAGACCGGCAATAATGATGGCACATTTGGCACTTCATTGCAAAGGCAATATACCTGATAATATTCGACACAAATGGTTAGTGACTTTGGCAAAAAAGACGGAAAAAAATATAAATATTAATGATGATTATAACGATGATGTAACGTTTAAGAAGGCTAAAAAAGAAGCAACATATCAAATTACCAAAGATCGAATTAATGAAATTAATTGTGCCTTACTCAAAGCATTTGTATGTTGTGGTATTCCATGGGCAATAATAGATAATCCTTTTTTTAAGGATTTATTACAAGTCTTAGAACCAAATTATATATCACCAAGTCGATAAACTCTTTCGAAAAAAATTCTTAATGAAAAAATATCGCGTACTACAATAATAGTTACTAATCAACTACAACATTATGACAATTTAACTTTAACATTGGATGGATGGAGCAGCCCATCAAATAATTCTCTTTATAACTTTTTTATAACAACACCAGATCGAAAAGAATATTTACATTCTATTGTCGATTTTTTATTATTTAAGCAAACTGGTCAATTTATAACAGAAGAAATTGCCAAAGTTGTTGATTCTATAGGCTCCCAACAATTTATTGCTTGCGTTACTGATGCTGGAAGTAATATACGTGTAGCTCGTGAAATTACAACACAAAATTATTCTCATATTTTGAATATGAAATGTATTGTTCATGCAATTAATTTAATTGCAACCGATTTAGTTCAAGTTCCACAAATTAAAAAAAATATTAAGAAGGCAAACGATGTAATAGAATATTTTAAGCTTTCTCATCGAGCTGGTAGTTTATTTCGAAATATTATTAATACGATGAAAATTAAAGGTGGAGGCTTAGAAACTTATGTGAAAACTCGATGGTGTTCATTCTATAATACAGCTATTTCTATTGTATGATGCAAACCCGTATTTGATAAGTTATTAGAAGATTACCCCGAAGTTATTAGTAATTCTTCTGTTTTGGCAATAATACAAGATATAGAAGATTGTTTTTACGCAGATTGCAAACGGATCGCATCAATTTTCAAACCGATTAAGGAAGCTATTTATTCTCTTGAAGCAAAATCAGCAAATATGGTGGATTGTTTAATTAATTTAGTAAAAATAGCCGTTGCAATTAAAACAACTTCAAATACCAATCCTTTTCGATCTTTAGCTATTCAAATTTTTAACCATAGATATACGCAATTCGATATTAATATTTATTTACTTACTTATTTTCTTCACCCTAAATATAGAGGACAAGGACTTCACGTTAATACTTTTAGAATTATTTGTGAAACAGCAATTAATTTATATAAAAATAGTTACCACGATGAAGCAACATGTAGAAAACTTATTTCTGAATTAATTAGTTATAAGAGTGGTCAAACTTTAGATTTTAGTTATGATGAATCTATAATTACACCATTAATGTGATGGGATGTTGTTGGAAATACTCATATTCATATTCAAGAATTAGCGAAAATATTATTTTCTATTGTTCCCTCACAAGCAAGTTGTGAACGCAACTTTTTGATATTGAAATGGTTTTATGGTTCACGAAGGACTAGACTTAATCTTGAGCGTCTTGAAAGTATGGCAAAAATTCATTCTTTCTATTTATCTCAAATTAGCAATGAATTGAAATTCTATGGAAAAGAAAGAACTGAAGATGATTTACGACAAAGTGCTCTTAGTGAAACAATATATGCAGATAATATGGATAATAGGTTCGAATATGAAGAAAATAATACTACACAAGTTTTACCATTTGATGAATTTTTAAAAATTCAAGAGATCGTGGATTTCAATAATCCAATATTTGGCAGAATATCAATTATGGAAGAAATAAATTATGTTGAAGATAAAGGTGTAGGAAATATGGATTTTATTGTTGGAGACGTAATAGATAGTGTTTTAACTAGAATGTAATAAATAAATATGAATATTAAACGATTATATTAAAGTAATAAATAATTTACTTAAACATTTATAAATTAAAATTTTAACTTACAAATTATTATATGCGCATTTAAATTATTACTGTTGTGATGTCTCGATTGATTTCTCCATCATGCCTTTCACCACGATATCAACTTGAACTTCATTTCTTTCAATGACTTGTAACTTGACAACAGTTCCAATTTCTCCCGCTTCCTTCAGCAAAAAAAATATGGATAACATAATAAATACTCTCTTGATTAAAGTGTTGGAAATATCTAGTAATGTCTCTAATCTGATTACAGCGTGTAGTAGAGGCCTATAATTTTATATAATTAATATATAGATATTTAATAATATTAATAAAGAAGCATACCTTTTTATAACCCGATGCAACTTTTTTTTAATATGCTCAGAAAAAATTTTTATTACGAAACTTAATACAAAAAAAAGCATATTTTTATTATTAAAAAAAAATTTTTTTCAAATATACGTATATGCATTGTCAAATGTTTCTTTTACCTAGCAAGCCCAAAATTCAGTTCCGGTTCTGAAAGAAAAGATCGAATTCAAATCGATTTTTTTTTTAAAAAAAGAAAGGTAAGATAAGAATGGTAAAGGACAGATGAAATATATTAGAATTTGCGAATAAAAAGGTAGATTCATGTAAGAATAGAATTTGTTTATGAGCATGGTGTAAGGGTAGAATTGGTTCGTAGTAATTAGGGTTTGCGTAAGAGTAAAATTAGTTGGTTCATGGAGTAGATTAAAGTTAGTAAAAGTAGTATAAGAGTAGAATAGGTTTACGGATGAAAATTAGATCTTATTAACGAAGGTAACAACAAGATCGACAAATCATTTTTTTCCAATTTAATCACATGATTAATATCGACATTATCCCATGTTTGGGTTTTGACATTTGGGCTGGAATTAATACTATTGTTGAAACTCATGAGTTTGTTCGACACCCCTAGTCACAACTAGACAATGTAATGACTGTGAGCAATGAAAATGACATTGTGAGATTTCTCATCATCATGTAATAGTGCTTAAAATCATCATTTTGTAACTAGTATAGTTAGCTTAATCTATTTTATGCGATGACGAGAAAATGTATAAATAAGTAAGAAAATGTTGTTAATAAAGGTGCGTGTACAAGAAGTGAGAAAGACTCGGCTGAATCGTACGCCTCAAATCACCATTTTTTATCATAAACTATTAGATATGGTCCTGCGAATCTCTGTTGGCATTAGTGACAGACTCGCCGTTTGCCCGTTACAATACTCTAGAGGATATGGAGGGAATTTGTAAGCGAAAGTGATGGGAAATGGTTAAAGTAGTAGTAGAATAGCGTGTTAGAGAATTAGGTAATCAAGAGAGGAGTGTGAAAACGATTAGATAATATGAAATAATGGTGATTGAGCATTATGTAATTAGGGAGAATCGTGAG